CTCATCTTCCCAAACTACCTTTCTCTCTTGCTGAAAATACGAATAGGGCATTGTCTATTTTAAAAAAAAACTGTTCTAAGAGGCTGCCTTTGTTTTTGCAAACCACTAGATGAGGGGATTTCCTAACTGACAGGAAAATGTAGCTCAAGCTGATGAGACAGTGTTGTACATATTAGTAGGCCCAGAGGGCTGGAGAGAAAGTCTGACATCCTGCAGCTGTCTACAGCTGGCCTTTGGAAACAACTTCTTGAAATTAACTGCAGGGGTGCAAGTGCCTGGCCCGCAGCATTCTGGGAAGGCACCTGTGTCAAGGCAGAGAGAAGAGATGAAAGGAGGAGTGCTCAAGGGAAGTGAATCTGTGGTTTTGATGGTGTAGCCAGTCCCATTTGGGTTAAGAAGTCAATGGAAAAATGATCCTTCCTCAGTTACTTTTATTTTGTTTTAGTTAAGATTTCTTTTGGAAAAATTAAACATCTGGACCTCTTTATGGAAATAGTTGTTATGGTGGCCGGAAAAAAAATTATGTATTTTTTTTTCATAGAGTTTGAATCAATTTTCAGGGAAGATCTGAGGATGTAGAAAGCCCAGACACAGGGTGGCTGCTTCACTCGCCTTCAGATGCTTTGAAAATAAATCTTCTGCTGAGTACATTCTGGGACATTGGACTAACAGAGTATTTGTTCCCATCTTGAGAGGCAGGATTTAACACTTGTCTCTAGCAGAGAGGCTCAGCCATGCTCAGTAAGACACCAGTCCCCTTCCTAAGGCAGGGGAATTCCCTCTTTGGTTTGAAGTTGGTGGTTTGTGTTGCTAAGCTTCTGGCATAGTATATCCTCCCCACCCCCCTGAAGCTGATATTTCATTCAGGAGAAGGGGTGAGGAAAACAATTTATTGGTGCTGGTTTTCAATCAATACTTGTTCAGTGGAGTTCATTTTTTTTTTTTTAGGGGAGATATACTTGGGGAGAATTTTTGCCCCATCATTAGTTTTTTAAAGAAGTTGTGTAGGCTGAGGATTCATTCAGTTGGTAGAGTGCTTGCCTCGCCCTGGGTTCATTTCCCAGCACCATAAAAAAATAATAGATAAATTAATAAAAGAGGTTGTAGAAGTGTCTTTTTTACCCTCTACATGTATTACACTGTTTCAACCTGAGTTTGGATTTTAAGGAAAAGGACGTGCCTTTTATTAAACCATTCCTAAATGGGAAGTGCAAAATTTTCTTCAACTCAGGCAGATGTTCTGCATTCCCATAAGATCCAAATTCCCCACCTCTCTCTGGCAGGATGACTTTGGATCCCATTTATAGAGCTGAAGTCCTCAAGCCTCAACCCAGTCCTAAAGAGAAGCCATCACAAGCAAGCTGCTTGAAGACAGGAAATTCATTCATTCTTCTGCATTCTCTTCTTACTTCCTCCCATGAGGGCCTTACACCCAGTACATACAGCAGGCCCCCCTTATCCTCAACTTCCTGTGGTTTCAATTATACCTGCCATTAACCAGAGTCCAAAAATATTAAATGGAAATTTCCAGAAATAAACAACTTATACATTTTAAATTACATGCTGTCCTGAGTACTGAGATGAAATCTTGCTGTGTCCTGTTTATCAGGTAAACCGTCCCTTGGTCTAGTATACGCATACTATACAACCTGCCCACTGTTAGTCACTTAGTAGTGTCTTGGTTATCAGATCAAATGCAATGGTATCACAGTTCCTGTATGCAAATAACACTTAATTTACTTAAAAAATGGCCCAAAGAGCAAGAGCAGTGAGGCTGGTAATTCAGATGTGCCAAAGAAAAGGCAGAAAGTGGTTTCTTTAAATGAAAAGTTAAAAGTTCATAAGGAATGAAAAAGAAATTATATGCTGAGGTCACTAAGATCTACAGTAAGAATGAATCCTCCATGTGTGAAATGCTGAAGAAGGAAAAAGAAATCTGTGTTAGTTTTGTTGTCACACCTCAAACAGCAAAAGTTGCCACAGTGTGTGGTAGTGCTTCTATAAGATGGAAAAGGCATTAGATGTGTGTGTGTAGATATAAGGAAGAAAACATAGTGGTTTGGTTCTATCTTCAGTTTCAGGTATCCACTGATGTTGGAACACATCGCCTAAGGATAAGTGGGGACTACTGAGCTCAATAAAGCTTAATCTAAAGCACATACATTTAATTCACTCTGAATAATCAAGTGCATAGAACTTTTGACATGAAATACCATCATCTTGAGTTCCACTTTTTTTTTTTCCCTCCCAGTACTAGGGAATCAAAACCAGACCCTCATGTATGCCAGGCAAGCATTCTACCATTGAATCATATCCCCAGGCCTCATTTTTGTTTTTAAACTTATTTCTGAAACAGAAATGGCTGGAATTCCATGAACCCATGCCTTTTTTCTCAAAATCTCCCCATCGGTCAACTTAAAATCATATTGATGACTGGGTATGGTGGCACATACTTGTCCTTTCAGCAGCTTGGAAGGCTGAGAAGATTGTAAAGTTCAATGCTAGTCCCATCAACTTAGCAAGACCCTGTCTTGTCCCAAAATAAAAAATAAAAAGGTATGGGGGTTCAAGGTGGCAGGACACTTGCCTAGCATATTCAAGTCCCTGGTTTTCATCTCTAGAGTTATAAAAGATAATGAATAAAATAAAATTATATAGATGACCAAAAGGCCAATCACTGTCTTTGATCAAAAAGTCTAATTTGCCTATGATCTTGCTATACAATTTCATTTGGCAGAGGGGGGGGGCTTCTATTTGCAAATGTGACCTATTAAAATGCCAATATTCTGGGCGAAATAATGCTATATTAACATTAATAATCACTCCTGAGATTGTTTGACAAAGTACAAGTCACTGTGGGAAGAAGTGAGATGGGGTAAAACAGAAATGGGGTATCAGGAAGTGGCCGAGTTTCCAGAATCCAAAGGAACAAAGAGAAGTCCATCTGAAGGGGAAACAGAATGGTTTTTGAAGCCCAGTTTCACATAACTTACACTACACATAATTGACATTTGTGCTAGAAGCCAGTCCTGCCCTTACCCATAGGGGATATATAAGAGTCACTTTGAACTCCTCAGAAAGAAGAATTTTTGCAAATAAAATTATCATTACACCTATTTCCTAGAAAAGATGAGTTTCTTTTATCCAGATGTCTACTATCCCTCGGTGTCTCCTTTATCAAGGGGGTTCACTTATATAATTCCATGCCTTTTTGGAGCAATTACAGATGATAGCATTGAAACATGATGACATGAGATGAGATGGAAAATATGGTGCATGTGAGAAAAGATGCAAGAAGTTTATACCCTCAGCAGACTGGGGCGAACAGGAAGTCTGTCTTAAGTCTTAGTTCAGATTCTTTCAGAAGCAGATCCTGAGGCAGTAAATTGAATGCAATTAGATATTTTGAAAAGTGGTCCCAAGAAGTATCACCAGGGGTATGAGAAGAGAACGGGGAAGTACAGAAAGCCAGTCATACATACCCAAGTAATTTTTCACTGTGGGCAACTGAGGCTCAAACCTGCTGGATGACTGTAGGAGATAGGGCAGAATATCCCTCTCAGTCATTCCATAGGAGGAATGAGGAATCTGGGATACGCATTCTCATATGCTCATCCTGCACACCTGAGGGCTGCTTCCAGGCACACTAATTCCCTGGCACTTCTGATCTGCCTTCCTAAAAACTGGGAGGCAGAGTGCCCTGGTGCTTGGAGGTGGTGGTACAGGATCAGGTAACACTGAGGAATTGTGGCAAGGGGCAGCAAGTGTACAAAAACCCAAAGCCAACTGGGCCTACAAAGGTCATGAAAAGGCCCTGTGGGCACTTACAGCACCATATACAAAGTCCTAACCAATAAGTGGTTCACATCAATTTAGAGTCTTCAATTCCATAAAGAAGTCCCTACTTTTCCCACTATCCTTGAGAATCTTCTCTACTTACTTGGTTCACCTGCCACTACAACAAGGACTGCCAGATCAACTGCTGCAGCCTGTACTTCTCCTAAATAAGTGAATCTCAAACTCAACAAGCCCTGAATTCTCCTCCCTTCCCCACAAGGCCCATTTCTTCTACTGTCCTTCTTAAATTAATGGTGCCATCATTCAACTCTTCACTCAGGTTAGGAACTATGAGGTCACCTTGATTCTTCCCTGTCTGGATCCCACCAATCCCGTCGTCAACATCTGGACAATCTCACTCCCCATTGTCTTTTATTCACCCGACTCCCTCCAGCTTCTCTGCCACTGTGATGGCTCGTCATCATCATTTGTCACCTGATCTACTGCAACATCCCCTGAACTGGCCGCCACTTCCATTTTCTCCCTCTTTCCAGTCTGTCCTTGCTACTTCAGTGAAGGTGACATTGAAACCTTCATCTGATTACATTTATCTTTTTTTTCAAGTTAAAAGAAAGTTTAATGTATTTGTAGGAATGGAAGAAATGCAACAAGATTATAATATATATTAGACGTTTATGTTAAAAGTTTCATTTTTCAGCAATGTTTCCTTATTTCCTTCTTTTCCATCTTCCTCAAAGCAATAAACAGTAGTTACTTACTCTCACAGATGAACTGCTCCACTGCACTGGACAGTAATTTTACCTTAATGTTTCACATTACTATCATCAGTATTGCTGTCATTACTACGACCTGTAGAATTTGCTTCACAGTAAAATGCACTTCACTCAAATTAGAAGAACCCATAGATTCAGAGCAAACCACAAAGTCATGTGAACAAATGCCAGGGACCCTACAGGCACAAACCTTCTGCATAGTTGAAATGAAAATGACTGTAAAGAAAAAGAAACTCAAGGAAGAGACCATTAAATAGAATTAAATATGTTTTAAATATAAATGCTGTGTATTTCCTGAAAAGTATTGGGTAAATAAACTGTCTATCCAGAATTTTGGTCTCAGAAAAAAAAGATCTGAGACAATTAACAAAGAAGGTCTGTCAGTAAAACAATTGAGATCCTTTGGGGAAATTGCATTAGTCTGTCTTTTTAATCAGAGATTTCTGTTGGCCCTTTTGTGATAATCCAGCTGGGCACAGTGGCACACACCTACAATACCAGGGACTCGGAAGGCTGAAGCAGGAGGATCACAGGTTCAAGACCAGTCTTAGCAACTTAGTGAGACCCTATCTCAAAATGCAGAAGTAAAAAGGGTTGGGGATGTGGCTCGGTGGTTAAGCAGCCCTGGGTTCAATCTCCAATACCAAAAAAGGACAAACCTTCTGTGATCAGTCACTCCTGTCTGCATCCTCACAGTCTACTTTGCTTTTGCTTTCATCACTGGATCCTTTTCTAGGCCTTATTCATCTAACAAAAGAGAATATCATTCAGTGTACATACAGCTCCAGGAATTTTCTGTAGATCCAGAGAGTAGGAATGACGACGCAAGGAATGTGCACCATTGTCCCAGGCTGGAGCTCTTAAATGTGAACGGAACGCCAGTCAGGGTGTACCAGGAGCTCAGGTCACAGCAAGGCACTAGGAGGGTGGAGGGTGAGTAATGGGGCTTGGGGTTCCAGAGCACAGCCCAGCCTGCTGAGCAGCTCTGAGGTGCCCTGTGCCACAGGAGCCCAGAGGACAAAGTCTGCTGGGGACTGGATCCTTGTCCCTTCTGGGCCCACTACAGTCGCCCAATTACATTCATTCATCTTTGCTTAACAAAGCTCATGCTTATTAATCATTATGGAAGGCTCCTGACAATCTCCTTTAAATCTACCCCTCTAGCTCATCTTTTGTTCCTTCTCCTTTGAATCATGATTCTTAATGGGAAATAACATAAATTAACTCTAGATGATTTAAGAAGTAAAGCGATTTTTTAAAAATTTTTTTTAGTTATAGTTGGACACAATACCTTTATTTTATTTATTTTTATGTTGTGCTGAGGATCAAACCCAGGGCCTCACATGTGCTAGGCAAGCACTCTATCCCTAAGCCACAACCCCAGCCCCAGCAAAGCGATTTTTTAAAGCATATTGGAGAGCACACTAAATCTCTGGGAAGGCTAAGCTCAGAAACATTCTAGAAAGCCAGCCAGGGAATAATAGCACCTCTTCCAGAAAAAAAAAAAAAAAACTAGATATTGAAGAGCTGGAGTCCAAGAGAACCTCTGTAAAGACACTGCTTCTGGTCCTCTTGTCACTGTCTCCCTCACAAGATGAGATGCTGCTGTCATTGCTGCGACCTGTAGAATATGCTCTTCACCACCTTTCTTTCTTTCTTTTTTTTTTTTAACATTTTAGTTTTCGGTGGACACAACATCTTTCTTTTACTTTTATGTGGTGCTGAGGATCGAACCCAGCGGCCCGTGCATGCCAGGCGAGCACACTACCGCTTGAGCTACATCCCCAGCCCTCTTTTTTTTTTAAAAAAAAAAAAAAAATATATATATATATATATATATATTTAGCTGTAAATGGACACAATATCTTTATTTTATTTATTTATCTTATGTAGTGCTGAGGATGGAACCCAGTGCCTCACACATTAGGCAAGCGCTCTACCACTGAGCCCCAGCCCCAGCCCCTCTTCACCACCTCTCTTATTTTATCTCTTGGTTCATATTCAGCTCCTTCTTAGTGAGTGTGACTGATTGGCTGCCATGTGAGGTCCTATTGACTGCCAAGGACCCAGAGCAATCAAGAGGTGGCTTTCTCAGCCATGTAGCAGGAGGTATGCTCAGTTTCCCATCAGGGTTCCTAAGAAAACAAAAAATGGATTTATAGGCTGGTCAGCAGCTAAAAAATGATGATTGCCAATGAAAATACTTTTCATTCTTAAACTTTAAAAACACAAGCAAAGTCGTATTTCTAACATAAGACACACAGCTGCCTATATATTTATTCGAATACCTTCAGCATGTCTGCAAAGGGAAACAAACCAAAGTCACATTAGTACTGATTCTAATATTGATATATCCACTCACAAAAATGTATCATCTATAGAATTGTATAATCTTATGGAAGCATTCCTTCCTTGTGTATCAAAACTTCTTAACCAACAAAAGCAACAGTTTCAAAGCCAAGATGCATGACCTTTTAAAGTTTGTCACTAGGTACAAAGTGAAAAGCACCACTTTCAGTTCCATCTCTTACTTTCATTACCTGTATCTTCAAGCTACAAAAGAAAATATCTCAATCTGTTGATTATTGCATGGTATGTCACGGCCTTCAGAGGCCTGATGAGGTTAGAAGACATGGAATGTGATAAAGGTAACTATGGAGGAAAAAGAGCCCCAATCATCAACTCTCTCAATATTTGAACACCCAACTTTATGGTCTTAACTGACCAGTGGACTCAGGACACATACCACCCCTTATGGGATATCACCCAACCCTACAGGTGGTATGTATGTGTAGCTGGTGGGTTATAAGATAATACAATTCTTACCTTCTTCTTTCACTGTAAAGTGAGTTCCTTGGTCAGAAACAATGTCACATGTGCTGTCATGGCAGCTTGAAAGGTTTCATAAATTCAAGGATGGCCAGCATTATGTGAGCATTGAAAGCAAATCCAGATCTAAAATCAGTAACTAGTTCAGTTAGGCTCAATCACTACCTTTTCTGGTTGGAGTCTGAGCTGAGCCAGATCAATAGGTCCAGGTTTAACATCAATAAGCCCTCAGCTGATGATATTTTCACTTTGTCTTTCTATAGAACTAGCAGACCTTGTGTAGCACAAACAAGATATTATTCCTCTTGGGCTGGGGTTGGGGCTCAGTGGTAGAGTGCTGGCTTAGCACATGTGAGGCACTGGGTTCGATCCTCAGCATCATATAAAAATAAACAAATAAAATAAAGGCATTGTGTCCATCTATAACTAAAAATATATTTTACAAAAAAGATATTATTGCTCTTAAAGGGGCATCCCCAAAGTTCGGTGCACACTGGAGGAAGTTCTCATTCAGCACTCAAGGACCTATCTTATCACCATGAAAAATAAATCTTATCGCACTATAGTAAAAGATGTTTTTATTTCTTGCTACATCAATGGGCCTACTTGAGATTTCAGTACAGCAGGCATGACCTTGGCCAACTTCAGGATTCAGTGTAATTCCCAGTTAGCTGTCTCCGCCTCCCCCCGTTTGGAGATTCAGGACTAGTTTCTACTGCTGGCCATCTCAGTGATCAGAAGGGACATAGCCATGTCAGCCCTAAGAAGGAGAGACCATTTGTGGAATCCATGATTCAGTCATAGTCTCCATCACTGTCTCCTTGGCTACCTTGTTCATGAGTCCATTAGACTAGACTAGAGGGATGGAAAAAGAAACCAACTGACATCCACAGCTTTGATGATTTGGTCCAATTGATTATTAAGAGTTTTCTTATAATAATGCTCATTCTGAGCTCCTTCAATAATTCTTCCCAAAGATGCTTCTCACCTAGTACCTATGAGTGAGTCTAGATGAACTATTAAAATATTAACATATTTCCACACTGATTGAGAAACAGAAGCCATCCTGAACCGCCAGCATGCTCACTCCCTTACTTTGCCCAGACTTCCCTGGTAACTGAAGTTCCACATCACCACCAAATGGAACACTGTCCCCTGCCATCCTGCAGACCCTCCAGTCAGCTCATCAGAATTCCCCAGGCTGGCCCCCAACCCTGAAAATCTCCCTAGATAGAACAGGGCCAAATCCCAGGAGCAGGTGCTGCTGGTGGTGTTAATACCTTAGCAGGTAAATACCTGCTGCCCCTTTGGGCCCCTTGAGCCTGGCTGTTCAGTGCTGACCAACTTACCTCTAGAATTCCCCTTGTGTAGCTAACATGGGAGCTGAAGCCTCTACTGCATCTTATGCTAGTTGATAAATGTTTCTTAGATCTCCTCCTTCATTACCTATTCTCCAATCTACTTATCATGAAATCTCTAACCCTGATCATTCCAAATCTCTAACCAGCTGACGAAACTTCTGCCTGTCAGTCTTTCCTTTTTCCCTTACCATTGATTTCTACAGATATTTCATTTAAGCCATTCTGTCTTTCCAAACAAATTAGATGAAATGCTTTTCTCAATATTCTGCCCCCAAAGAGGATTTCAGTACTTCCCTTTGTCACTGTGGTCAAAAGTCTTGTCTTAGCGGGGCTGCCATGCTATAGTCGTCTACCAATGCCTGGTGCCAGCACATCAGGCAAAGCCCTCTAAAAGCCAGATGTAAATTATTTCCTCCTCAGTCAGCCAGTCCTAGGAGACTTCCCATAATGTTATCAGTGTGGTGGCAGAGAGTGATTGCCATGTGACAGGAACAGGCACCTGAAGAGTGAAAACACCTTTAAATGCTACTTATATCTTCAGAGCCCAGTCGAACCCATTCCTGCACAAAAAAGCCTCCATTTGATGAGAAAATGTTTCTAGATTCCTCAATCAGTAAGATTTGTTCCTAAAGGAAAGCTCTAATCACAGGTCCCATGCTCAGGCATTCAGTCTCCATCTGGACCCTGTAACTGACCTAAAGCTATTTCTCAAAGGGAGAGTTGCTTGCTGAAGAAAGCATCTTCTTCCAAATCTCTTAGTTCTTTGCTGACATATAGGTTCCATTCCAGCCTCTAATAATCAGATGTCAACTGGGTGAAGGACCAAGTTCAGAGGCATTTGTCCTGTAGCAGCCTAGGTGGAGGGCCTTCCTTGGTCTAGGCTCCATTCAGACTTGTTGGTTTCTTGGCCACTGACAACAGTTGCAAGCCACACACCCAAATGAGGCACATTTTTTCTCTCAAGTCTAAGGAGGCCTGCTGTGCCTTATAACTCTGACTCAAAGTATATCCACTGGTGCTTCACTTTGGAGGAGCCATTCTAACATGCTAGGTGATCACTAGACTCCAGAAATGACACTGAGCAGAGGTCCTTGTGTTATGGTCATCACACCTCACCCTGCACCAGGAACAAGAGAGTTCTACCCTTCAGGGTGTTCAGAGAGTGTAATCAACATGGGAACCAGAAGATATTGAAAGACTGCTACTATTCTATTTTTGATTTACTGTTTACTTGGCCTTTCATATCGAAATAGCCAGTGTGGGAACTCTTCCTGGTGTTATAAATATCTACCTCAATGATTCCTTCATGATCTGGGAAAATGCCCTGGAAGTGACTGAGGGTCCAATTGGACCTAACATTAGGCATATCCATGTCCAGCTCCTGTTCTCACCTGACACCCATGAGATTTCACTCTGACTGGTACACTGGTGGGGTCATAGGTCACACAAAATGGTATTAACTCAAAGCCAGTATCCAAAAATCTCAAAGAGCCTTGGTATAATCACTTACCCTGATTTTTAATTACCAAATAAATTCCCACTACTAATGCCTGGTGCAGCGCATCAGGAAAAGCCATCTAAAAGCCATTTAAAATTAAATGGCCACATTGTCCTTTAGAGAAAGTTAATAGGAAGATTCAGTTTGCACTTTT